TCAATTGAATACATATATGGTTGATATAGTCAACTTTGGATTTTGGTTTCTGTGAAAAAAGAGAGATATTATAAGTGCTCTATAGGTAACAGTGTAGAAATCGATTGTCCATATCCCAAATTCTCTTCAGCTCAATTCTGACTGGTTAATAAAGCCTCATTCGAAACAATATAACATTGCAAGGCACTTCTTCTTTCGAGCCCCCCATTATGAATAAATTAGAACCTATAGGTTGATAAATCATGAAATAATAACTGATAGCTATATTAGCGATATATAAAGACACATTCGAACATGCATGCTTTCATACCTAGTCCTCATCACAAACACAACACATATCATGCGGTCATTTACTAACTGACAGTAGCACGCCAGTCGTTGGTTACTCTCGAGCTCGTCTCGTTCAGACCACAGCTCCAGATGTTCCCTGACCCTTTGTATACCAACCGATTTGACCTTCATATCTTGCCTCCTCTCCATCCTCCATCGTGGCAGAAATATCAATAATATCACGTCCATCTCTGAACGTACTGTAGACGTTCATTTAACGTCCAAAAACCTTAGGACTCAAAATGATTTCAAATAGATATCTGGTTTTAACAGTCCTCTATACATATACTAATTCATTCTCCACCATGAATAATTGAACTCAGAATGGCCCTTGAATGGACATCCAATAATGGAAGTTCAATTTGTATCATCCAATGTACGTCTGTCTTTCTACGTACAATGGATGTTAATCAAACGTCCATGAGAGTTTAGTCCTTGAGTTAACGCGAAATGAATGCTCATCGGACGTTAATTTTGGAACATACATTGTACGTCCATCATTATGAGTACGATGAGTACATTCTACGTACATGGATGGTTGGACATTCCATGGACGTCCATTGGACATACAATTTGAAGCATCAAAAGATCATCCATGCTTGTACGAACATTGAATGTCCATTCAATGTCCATGGACGTTTGGAATTGAAATGGACCTGAAATGTATGTCCAATTTATGTCATGTGTTGTGTAGGAATGTAGGTGGGTGAGCATAAATAGCTGCATGACCTTTTGCTGTAGTTATTCAGTTGTATCCAGGATTGTTGTTATGAAGTAAGGTACATTATTTTCTGAAATCCAATTTCACTTTCCATTTACTCCAGCAATTTATAGATTCCTGGAGGATATTTCGAAGCAAAGATTTTCATGAAATTCAATAGATATCAATTGATTCGCCATCAGATAGAACAAGAGGTTTTTGAGTAATTGATGAATGAAATATTTTTTCTGAAAAATTTTGAGAGCTATACATCTAGAAAACTAAGCAAGTTATTACAGTTGTATATATAAAAAAAAAATCATACGTGTAATCATTCAAATAATTTCAAAACATGAACATGTTTGCTCCCAATTCGTGTTTAGACCATGCATATTCTATAAAGAAGCTATGGAACCAATTTGACAATTTGAAAGTTTCATTGGACTGTGAATGTGAAATATTTGTATTTCAGTATATTATTTTCATAATTACACCAATTCTAGTCATAACTGATGCACTCAGATCTACGATCACTGAAAGGGACACAGAAGATTTTTATATTTGTTTGAAAATGTTTTGTTCCTATATTTGAATTCCGATTCATATTTTGTATAATGAATTGTATTTATTATCGTGTCGTCGAGATTGTTGCGTCCTGTACATGGTTTTGCATAAAACAGCCCGCCTGTGGTGATGATTTAACATGTCTTTCAGTTGGAGAGCCGGCTGCATATTTCTACCGTCATCTGATAACGGAATGATATAATATGTCCCAAAGAAAAGTAAAGACATTGTAGTTCATTTAACGGCACCTGTGCCAATCACTATCCTGAGCAAGATGATTGAAAAATAGCACTTTTCTGTGCGAACATTTGCATTCGATTTCGCGAGATAAGAATTAAGCTATCCGATACCAATTGAATGGTAGCTCTCGAAAACCTTTCTGTGTCACCCCTCAGTCTGAGTCAAATCCACGACACAGCGATTCATTTGCTGCTATAATTCCAGATATACTTTCGTCATATTGTGATAACGAGTTGGAAAAAAGCAAATGGAAGGGAAAAATGTCCTTTTTGCGAATACTGAAACGTGCCGCGATTCAAACTGATCTAAGTTAGTGGCAGAGCGTCAATATTTTCGTGAATATTTTGCCCTTGTCGAAAGATATAATATCCGATGGACTAATATGAAACTCATGTGGTGCTCACACTACAAGTATTTTTATCCACATATTGAGTTTTACACTGGTCCATCGGATATTATCTTTAGAAGAGGCAAAATATTCTCGGAAGTATTGACGCTCTGCAACTAACTTAGATCAGTTTGAATCGCGGCACGTTTGGACATTCGCAGAGGCGACATCATCTCCAACTCGTTATCACATGACGGATGTGAGTCGGGAATAAAAGCAGCATATAAATCGCTGTGCCCTGGATTTTGCACAGACTGAGGGGTGGCATAGGTATAGGTTTCTGATATTCACTATTCAATTGGTATTGGATGGCGTAATTTTCATCTCGTTATCAAATCGCGAAATGAAGTACACATTTACGCACAGTAAATTGCCATTTATCAATAATTTTGCTCAGTATAGTGATTGGCACAGGTTCCATTCGATGAGCTACAATGGCTTCACATGCCTTTGGGAAATACACTCAGTTCCAAAAGAAGTGACGCACTTGATATTTGACCTATCTTCTTAAAAAAAAAAATAGTTGGCCGATTTCTATTTCTTTTTATTCATTGGTAGGAAATGCATTTGTCCTAAGAAAAATACAGAGGTGAAAATTTTTTCAAAGCCTCCTTTATGGTGGTGGAATAACTCGAACCATGATTTATTCTCAATTTTTGACTCACCCTGTATGTTAATTGAGTAATGACATATAAAGTGCTCACACCCTATACAGAAGGGGCTTCTTTTGCGAGCATCTTGTTTTTTAATCATCGATTTATCTCTGAAATTTTACGAATTACAGCATTTTGGCTGAATCCTTGCAGATTACCAACTTTCTGAATTTACCGTGAAACAATTTTTTAATGAAATGAACTGATACCAATAATTTAAAAAAACATTTTCATTAAACACAAAATTATAAATTGGGATGACTGCTTAATACCGTGTATTGCCTCCTCTAGCAACTCTAAGAACTTTTAATCTACGAGGCATACTGGAAATTGAGTTGCTTATCGTTTCCATTGATATACGATCCCATTCTTCCACTAATGCATCTGCCATTTCTGCGAGACTTTCCGGAGACCTCTCGCGAGAACGTACCCTTCTTCCTAATTCATCCCACAAATGTTCTATAGGATTCATATCGGGGCTTCTCGCAGGCCATTGTAATGTGGTAATAACAGTAGCTTCTAAGAAGTTTCGCACTATTGCTGCGGTGTGTGGTCGGGCATTATCCTGCATCAATATAAATTTGTTGCCCACTAACTCTGCATAAGGTAAGACATACTGCTCCAGAAAGTCGAAATAAATTTGGGCATTCATCGACTGCCTCACCAGAAAAACATGAAGGGGTGTCTTTCCATTCATTGAATTCCCTCCCCACACCATAACGGACCCACCATATCACTTTCGCATTCTGTTATTGAATTCTGATTAAACCGTTCACCAGTTCTTCTCCACACTCTCCATCTTCCATCCACCATGTTAAGGCAAAACCTTAACTCATCCGTAAACAAGACATTCGACCATTCAGGAATATTCCACTGTCCATAATTTTCAACAAAATTCCTTCTGGCAGCACGATGTTCGGGCAATAATTTGGGACCTTTGGCAGGTCTCCTAGCTTTCAAATTAACTTCTTTTAGACGTCTAAATACCGTCTGCTTACTTACTGCAACATCACGAATTTGGCGAAGAGTTTTTCGGGAGCGACCAGAACCGACTCTCCGAGCGGTGCTTCCTGATTGTTCGTACTTGCGGATTGCTCTACGAGCAGTTGCTTCATAAGTTCAGGATCTATTTGAGGCATTTTATATAATTTTAGTCAATAAAACAAGACACTTAATCAATGACACAACGACAAATGGTCAAATATGGAGGCATACAACAAATTAGATGCTATGGCAACGGCATTTGTTTTTTTGAAGACAATGTGATCCTACCAGAGTACAACCCAATCAATTTTGAGTACTCTGATCCTTCAATGAATTTAATTTGTGGGATAAGCGTAAGGTATCAGCAAAAAAGCTGTAATTCGGAAAACTTCAGAGATAAATCAATGAATAAGGAAACGAAATGCTCGCAAGCGGAGCCTCTTTCGTAAAGGGTGCAAGCACTTTCTATGCCATTACTCAATAAACACACAGGGCGAGTCAAAAATTAGGAATAAATCATATGGTTCGAGTTATTCCACCACCATCAAGGAGGCTTTGATCAAATTCTCACCTCTTTATTTTTTTTCAAAGACAAATGCATCACCTACCTACGAATGAAAAAAAAATTAAAATCGGCATACTATTTTTTTTAAGAAGATAGGTCGAATATCAAGTGCGTCACTTTTTTTGGAACTGAGTGTATATCATTTCGTTATCAGATGAAATTTGCAGACGGCTCTTGGAGTATTTGGGACGCAAGATATCTGACGAATGCTCATAGAGGGAACAATTATCAGGAAAATATCGAATAATTCGAATGAAGATAAGTAGGCACTGAGTATCCCCAAGTATTGGTAGTGAGTGCGGTTGCATGCGACGAACCTCGCAGCCGCAAGCATATGCCTGATAGCGACAGCAGCAAAATCGTTATTGTTATTGTAGCATTTCAATGTGCAGCTTTTATTCAAAAATGTGTAACAGTAATAGGATTTCTTGTAATGGTGGCAAAAAATATCTCAGCAAAACTCTAATTGCAAGATTTTCCCCAGTGTCAGTTGATGCAGGGTCTACGCAATATCAACCAATATGCAAATAGCACATGATCCATCCATTATCATTGATTCAATAAATTAATTTTCAGGTCCAATTTATCAGGATTCAAATGATGGAACAAGATGGAGACAATATAATGAACACAATTCCGAAAGAGGACATGGAAATCACATTAACATCAGAGGTCGTGACAACTTTCACAATGCTGGTATTGATATTTTGTTACCTATTGTAGATATATATCTGAGTAAATTTTTGCAAAGAAAAAATTATATGCGCAAACTGAGTGAGGATATAAATAATGTTTATCTACAACTGTCAAGTAATGATTATGATTTGACACATTTTTGAATGTCATAATGACGTTAATCAACGCACTAGTGCTTTTTTGAATCTGATACCGCACTATTGTGCCGTAATGAGATAAGAGATGAATTTCAAGCAAAATGAATCGTTTATTGAATGAATACAAAGAGAATTCGATAAATAACACTTGTCGCCGCATTTTCAATATCGGATGGTAGATCATCTTCGATCACTTGAAGACAATTCCACTCAAAAAACTTAATGATGGTTCTGGATATCGATCTGACAAGTTAATATCTATAAACGGTTGTGTTTATACCTACCGTTGCTACGGTTACAGAACTGATCACAGCCAACTTGTCTTTTCCATTATCAGAAAACTGTCATGGGTGATGGTACGTCGAAGTGGAACATCAATGATGAGGTACATTCTGCAAAATCTGAAACCAAAAATGCGATATCAGATATGAATTTTTTCATTCATATGTCAAAAAAGCTCGAGGAAATTGTAAAAAATTATAGAACCATATTCTCATCGGAGACAGATGTTATTAGATATTTGAACGTAGCTTTCAATTCTAGTCAGCTTCCTTATATAATGATATTTGATATTGTAGAAAGTAAAGCGAAATCAATGTTTTTTGATATACATCTTGGGCTGGAAAAAAATTATCGGTTTAGGGCATCGCAGCATCGTATGAAGAATGACCTATTTCCTGGAATTCATAATGAAAAAGTGTCCCATATCTGTTGTCAACTATTTCAGTCAATTCAAGAATCTAGAAAATTCTATAGGTATTCTTTGGTCATGGATTCCAGGAAATTGAAAGAATAAGTATTATTATGATTGAAATTTCACTAATCCTATAAACTATATTCTGAGGGAAATATTTCGAACTCAACGGTGCATTTTTGTATGAATGAGGTAAGTTGATTTCAATCGCCCTATTTCGTTCTCTAGTTCTTCCTGTAGAATTTATGATACTTTGTTCTGGGACACCATGTATTTCGAAGACATTAGTAGTCGTGGACAAAGTATATTATTCCACTCGTGTATAATGAGCTATTTCATACTATTTCCGACAACTATTCATATGTCGAAATAGGTCTTCGAAATATGGTATCATGGTGAATCTGAAGAATCAGAACAATTCTGGTCATAATGGTGGTAATTTTGAATCGAAAATAATGTTAACCTGGACCACGCTGAGAGCTGTAAGGGTGGAAATATTTCAGGAACTTCTTATTTCAGCAAGTTGACCAAGATAATAATGAACATAACAAATTCCTGCTACATACCTTCACACTGAGGAACATTCTTATCAGTCATACATTGCTGATTATTAGAAATGGAACCTTGCTGCCCTCAGCGAGTTAATATGCATATGGCCATTCTCGGCAATGTTTCTGTAGAAGGTATCCGACTCTGCTATATTAATAGTGAGTGCAAATGATAATGGTACTAGGGCAATATGACCTTTTGCAGTTAGTAGTTTTCAGTTGTTGTTTCCAGAATTGTTGCCATTAAGAAAGATACATGCTATTTTTCCTGCAACCGAAACAATTAACTCGAATAAATATGTGAAGTAACCACCAATGCCATGCCATATCTATATGCAATGCAACAAATCAAAATCAATGCAAAATCCGTGTGGTGAGAATATTCTACCTGCATTAACAGCAGGTTAATTCGATTTTCAAGGATATTCGAATTGAAGTTTCAATATAAATACAACCACATAGTGACATATTTGTAAATGGACCAGGTGATCTAATGGCAAATATCGCGCCAGTACCAGGGGGAACAAGAAGTGGAAAATGTTAGCCTAGTGAGCATATCAACAATAATAATAGCGATTATTAATTCCTCAACATACTACACTGTGTTTGACTTGATAATCAAATGAAGGTAACAATATCGTTGTTTGAGACAAAAAAACTATTGCTTGCCGTGGTTATTCAGAAACAAGTTATCCATTCCGATAATAACGAATGAAATACAGATCAAGCAAGTATTTGAATCTTGAAGGCTTCTCTGATCAAAACAAAAATACTCGGCTGAGATGTTTATAATACCAATACCTAACTATAATGAGGTGTATTGATATCTCCAGCATGGGTATAAAATGCCAAATCTGCTGAAATCGGAAACAAATCAAGTATGCGTCTCAACCCAAATAACCAACCGTAACAATGTTGTTTATTCTTGATAACATCCAGTGCATTCTTTTTGGTCCTAGGAGCTGAAGTTCAACTTTAGCTTCTAGGAACTAATGTTCAACTTAAGCTCCTAGGAACTGAATATGTTGCCTAGCAACATATCTATTTTTGTGTCAGTAATAGAAACGTCAATTCAAGAGCTAATTTTGTAATCAAAATGGACGACTTTTGTGTCGGTTGCAGAAAAAACATGTTTATATCCAATTCGTGTTTAGACCATGCATATTCCATAAAGAAGCTTCGGAACCAATATGACAATTTGAAAGTTTCATTGGATTGATGGAAGATCTCAAAAACCTACCTGCGCCACCCCTCAGTCTGAGCCAAATCCACGGCACAGCGATTCATTTGCTGCTATTATTCCGGACATAATTCCGTCATGTGATAACAAGTTTGGAACAAAAAATGAATGGAAGTATCGAAAAATGTCCCATTTGCGTGAGTCCCAAAGTGCCGCGATTCAAACTGATTTAAGTTAGTGGCAGAGCGTCAATATTTTCTTGAATATTTTGCCCTTGTCGAAAGATATTATATTCGATGGACTAATATGAAACTCATGTGGTGCTCACACTACAAGTGTCCTTATCCACAAGTTGAGTTCTACACTGGTCCATCTGATATATATTATCTTTAGAGAGGGGCGAAACATTCTCGGAAGTATTGACGCTCTGCCACTAACTTAGATCAGTTTGAACCGCAGCACGTTTGAATATTCGCAAAGGCGACATCATCCCCATTCATTTGCTTCTTGATTCAACTCGTTATCACATGACGAAAGTATGTCGGCAATAATAGCAGCACAGGTAGGTGAACTAACGTTTATTCAAAACGTTTATAGGACTCAACAACAATGGTCACAAAGAGAGAGAAACTCACAGTCATTACCACATACTAGTTCATAAAATGAACGATAATGGTAGATAACGAGAGGAAAACAACTACTTTCCTGGCTATATGCCACGCAGAACATTGCATTACATCCACCCGAAATCTATGCGATAGTTCGTATAAACGAATAAAATCGCGAGTGTTTCCTTCATTTTATGAACTAGTATGTGGTAATGACTTTGAGTTTCTCTCTCTTTGTGAAAATTTCATTCCACTTTGAGTATTTGGCTTTTTCCCTAGTTGAAAATACGCCAGTCGGGCAACCAGCCACTCTCATTTCACCTGAAATGGGATTTTGTTTTGGAGTGTCTCCTTCCTTGCCAGGTGGCGTTCGGCGTTCGCGTTTTCATTTCGCGACTTCGAACGCCTCGTATGGTATAAATGCTGAGATGCGTTTACGTTGGGTCAGGTTAGCACCACATAGCGGTAAAGAAGCTGACTGGGACAGCTCTGTACTGATGAGAGCCAACAGCTCGAAATCGGTCTGCAGGTAGTCAGCGTTCCTGAACCACTTAAGCGCAGCTCAGCGTTTAGGACGGAAATACTTGCGATTTTATTCGTTTATACGAACTATTGCATAGATTTCGGGAGGAATGCAATGTTCTGCGTGGCATATAGCCAGGAAAGTAGTTGTGAACTAGTATGTGGTAATGACTTTGAGTTTCTGTCTTTGTTTATAGAACTCTTGAAATGAACGTTTCTTAAGCGTTTTTTCGAAAGTATTCGATAACGCTCTGCAACTAACTTAGATCAGTTTGAATCGCGGCACGTTTGGACATTCGCAAAGGCGACATCATCCCTATTCATTTGCTTCTTGTTTCAACTCGTTATCACATGACGAAAGTAAGGCGGGAATAATAGCAGCATATAAATCGCTGTGCCCTGGATTTTGCACAGACTGAGGGGTGGCACAAGTAGGTTTCTGAAATTTACCATTGACTTGGTATTGGATGCCATAATTTTCATCTCGTTATCAAATCGCGAAATGAAGTGCACATTTACGTACATGCAGTAAAGTGCCATTTATCAATCATTTTGCTCAGTGAAGTGATTGGCACAGGTGCCGTTCGATGAACTACAAAGGCTTCACATGCCTTTGCCATTTCGTCATCAGATGAAATTTGCAGACGGCCCTTTGACTTGAACAAGATATCTGACGAATGCTTATAGAGGGAAAATAATCAGCCGAATATCGAATAATTCGACAATAGATAAGTAGGCAATGAGTATCCCCAAGTAGGTTCGTCAATTATTTTTTTTATGGCAGGCTGACAGTTGCATTATTGGTAGTGAATGCGGTTGCATGCGACGAACCTCGCAGCCGCAAGCATATTCCTGATAGCAACAGCAGTATACCTTTCTGTGACAGAAAATTCACTTTCAGCAAAATCGTAATCGCTATCATAGGATTTCAATGTGCTGCTTCTATTTGAATATGTGTAACGGTAAAAGGATTTCTTGTAATGGTAGCAAAAAATATCTGAGCAATACTCTAATGGGAAGATTTTCCTCAGTGCCAGCTGATGCATGGTCTACGTGAATCTACCTATACAGTGTGTCCATTTAGTGCGTAATTCTTCGATATCTGGAAATCAAATATCACAAGAAAAAACTTTGAAGAAAAAACCTTCTCAGTTAATGAAGTTACTCATTTCGAAAATATTTCCAACAATACTGGGTGTTTTATAAAAGCGGGGCAACTCGAAGACGAGTTTTTTCAAATGGAACACCCAGTATTGTTCATTCGAAATTTATTTCGCTCAAGTTCAGCTCTACATCGCTGTAAGAAAAATTGAATTTGATTGCGGCGTTGCCAAGTTATAATTATTGATGAACCCATTTTTACTACTATTGAAGGGTCATGTTCAATTGGGTATGGTATATTTATTTATTGAAATTTCGAAAATATTTTTGGCATACAGTAGTAGCAAGGTCTCACGTATACCAATCCAGTAATCTTGCGAGATTATCCTCTACAGGGTGCTAAAATTTACATTCTGAATATTGTAAGATTCAGACGACGTTCATAAGAATTTTTCAAATGGAACACCCTGTATTTTTCATTACAGATTTATTTTGACATCATTCGCCTTTTCATCGCAGAAGAAAAAATCTAAATCGGTTGCGGCGTTTTCAAGTTATGAGTAATTTCCTTATTTTTACTAATATTTCGGGGTAATTTGTACGTCATGATGGTTCCTTGATTTGATTTGAGTGTGGGAATATTGCTTGCCACATGACATTCGAGGTTCTACATAAATTATTCAGGTATTTTTGTGATATGTGCATCCTCCAAATTTGAAATATTCCGTAATCTTGTTACTTATGATTTCAATAATATGTAGAACAAACAAACATGCCAAAAACAACGCCTGTCTTTGAAACAACTTCTAAAATACAAACAATGAAGATGCGGATTGAGAAAATTAGGAAATTTTTTTTAAATTTGGGCCATTTTTATTGTCGTTAATCCCACATTCCAAATCTCCATTTAACTTGAAGACGGTGAACATAATGATACAAACAATATATCTCTACTACGCGGCTTTTGGGAGGGAATTCAGAAAAATGTCAAAAAATCATTCCAAGATATATTTGATTGTGGCGATGTTTGACAGGTCATTACACAAATATTTCGAAAAAAATTCAAACTTGGAGAGCCCGTAAATGTTCCTTTTGTAATAAAATATATGAATGGTCAATGAACAAATTTGATTATACCGTAGCAACGCAATATTTCCACAATACAAATAAATGAAAGAACTATGTCGTACAAATTACCCCGAAATAGTAGTAAAAATAAGGAAATTAAGCTTAACTTGACAACGCCGCAACCGATCCCGATTTTTTTTCCAGCGATAAAAAGGCGTGTTACAGGGTGTTCCATTTAAAAAATTCTGATGAATGTCATCTGAATCTTGCAAAATTCTGAATGCAAAATTGAGCACCCTGTTGAAAAACATGTCGCGAAATTACTGGATTGGTATACGTGGGACCTTGCTCCTACCGTAAGCCAAAATTATTATCAAAATTTGAATAAATGAATATCCCATGCCCAATTCAACATGACTCTTCAATAATGGTAAAAATGGATTTATCAGGAAAGTAGTTGTTTTCTGTTGAATATTCAGAATGATGTGTGTATATACATATTTTTGTCTGAAGGAGAATGCAAATTCTCAAATTCAGAAATTTTTATATTTTATTTTCAAACTCTTATCGTGTGTGTTCAATAGATATAATTCAATGTTCGTCGTGGCATATAGCCAGGAAAGTAGTTGTTTTCTATTGAATTAACTGAAAAAGAGTAAATATTCTCATCACATAGAGAATGCGAATTCTCAATGTATTGCTTTATATAAATATATATATCCATTTTTGTATGTTCATAATTTATCTGAGAATATTCCTTTTCAACACTATCAATTATAACTTGGCAACGCCGCAACCGATTTAAATTTTTTTTCAGCGATGTGAAGGTGAACCTCGGCGGAATCAATTCCGAATGAACAATACTGGGTGTTCCATTTAAACAACTCTTCTTCGAGTTGCCCTGCTTTTATAAAACACCCAGTGATGTTGAAAATTATTTTGAAATGAGCAACTTTGGTAACTTAAAAAGTTTTTTCCTCAAAGTTTTTCTGTATAGGTTATGGCTTTCGAGATATATCGAAGAGTTACGCACTAAATGGACACACTGTATGTAGATTGCACATGATCCATCGATTATTATTGAATCAATGAATTGATTTTTAGGTTCAAATCATCAAAATTTAAATGATGGAAGAAGATGGAGACAATATAATGAATACAATTCCGGAAGAGGAAATGGAAATCACATCAATAGAGGTCGTGCCAACTCTCACAATGATGGTATTGATATTTTGTTACCTATTGTACATATAAATTTGGAATTTGGAAATGAATAATGTTTATCTACAACTGTCAAGTAATGATTATGATTTGACACATGACTGCACTAGTGCGGTAATGAGATGAGAAATGAATTTCAATCAACATTAATCGTTTATTGAATGAATACAAAGAAAATTCGAATAACACTTGTCACCGCATTTTCAATATCGGTTGGTACAACATCTCTACTTGAAGACATTCTCACTCAAGGAAGTTGATGATGGTTCTGGACATCGATATGACAATTCAATTTGATATCAATAAATGGCTTTGTTTATACATACCGTTGCTACGGTTACAAAAAGGATCACCAGGCAAGTTGTGTTTTCAATTATCAGAAAACTGCCATGGGTTGGTACATCGAAGTGGAATTTAAATCAATGAGGTACATTAAAAAGTAGTTATGAATACGTTGACAGTTGTAGATGAGATTTTGTACGCAACGCGTGGGATACTACATTATTATCGCACTCATGTGATTACACGACTCACCCTACGGTTTCGTCGTGCAATTATCACATGCGTGCGTTAATAATGTCTATATCATACTTGCTACGTAAATAACTATTTCACGACTCTCATCTTCAGAAGGGTCACATGATTAACTGGGCCAATCAGAAGGTGACTACCGCGAAAATTTGGTTCGGTTCTTTAAACTTAATGGAATCGATGTGATAATTATTCTGTCAACAATGGAGCTCCTTTTGTCTATTGGCAAAAGTCACTTAGTTTCACTTGAAACTACAGGGTGTCCCAGAACAACGTACATTGAATTCAACAGGGTGAACTAGAGTTCAAAACAGGTCGATTGTCCCCATTTCACCTCTATACGAAAATCCACCGTTGGGCCGTGAGAGGGCGATGAATGGAATTTTTTTTTCAGATTTTATTGAATATTTCAAAATTCTTGAGAGGTAATGCTCTGAAATTTGAAAGGCAGTCAACTATGAGAAGTGTGCATAGATAACAGGTCTCATCAGTCAAATCAATGTACAGGAAGATACAAATTTAGCATTCTGATTGAAGAAAGTATATAGAATTTTTTTTGAGTACGCCACTGACAATATTTCGATATCTACTTGAATAACAAAATCAATTATCTATCTTTTTTCTCACAACATTTTTTTCTGAATTTTGCTTGGTTTACGAGATATCTGAAAAAATTCTTTCGGAGTCCCTCCATATCATCCATAGTCCAAGATATCAGAGTTATCGTGTTCTGCAGGTTTCTTCCTCCTTTATGTTGATATTTTGGTCACGTATTCATGTTGATTATTCAATAACCATTCCATCATACATGATGGCCCATTTTCAACTTGACAGGGGGATTTTGGGTGGTAATAGCGTAGATACGAAAAAATGCTCAGATCGGTCGATTTTAGTTTGCACCTCCTGCTAACAATCAAAGTCGTTTGCAGGTTTTTTTCGTTCTGTTGAAACTTCGGGAGCACAGATATCATATCATATCAACTACTTTTTCTGCTCAATCATTGCTTAGTTAGAAACCCGTCAAGCGGTTCGTACAAAAAATGTACGAAAACGAAGAATATCAATTGTCTAGTTTCATTATTATCATTATTTTCATCCCTTATGTCACTGTCAGCCTGATCATTGTAGTATATTGTTCAATTCTCAGTGTGAACTGTGGAGAACTTTCAATCTATAATGGCTGATCAAGACTACCAACATTATTCTGAACACGAAATGCAGACATGCATCACATTCTGGGAAAGTGCGATGGGAATTCAGCAAAATCTGTTCGAATGTATGCTGGGAGATATCCACAAAGACGAACACCTAATTTCAGGACCTTCATTGTCATTGATCGGAGGATGAGAGAGACTGGGACTTTGGTGGTGAGGAGACGAGGATCTAGGAGGCAGCGATTTGTGCGAACTGTAGAGCAAGAAGACCAAATACTGGAAATCATTGATCAACGCCCAGGAATAAGTTGTAGACAATTTTCTCGTGAGACAGGATTGTCAAAAATTTCAGTTTGGAGAATCCTTAATGAACAATTACTCCATTCATTTAGCATAGGGAAAGTGCAAGAGCTTCTTCCGGGTGATTTTCAACTGAGAATAGATTATTGTCGTTGGTTTCTGTTGCAACACGATGAAGATGTTTTTTTTTGTACGAAAAATTATGTTCACCGATGAGGCGGCTCACGAGCAACGGAATCATGAACTTGCATAATGCTCATCAGTGGGCAGATGGGAATCCAAGGGCCATCAAGCCAACTCACCACCAAAGGAGTTCCAAAGTGAATGTTTGGGCTGGGATTTCAGATGACAATCTAATTTGGCCATTTTTTTAGCGAACCACTTGACAGGAATTAAATATTTGAACCTTTTGCGGAATTATTTACCAGGACTCTCAGAAGACGTTGATTTGGGGACTAGAAACGAAATGTGGTTCCAACAGGATGGCGCAACACCACCCTTCAGTAGCGAGGTGAGAGCTTGGTTATGCGATAGATTCGCCGACCGGTTGATTAGAAGAGGTGGGAATGCACTAGTGCATTGGCCTACGCGTTCTCCAGGTTTGACGCCATTGGACTTTCGATTCTGGGGATTCATGAAAAATGAAGTTTATTCAATAGCTATCAATACAGTGGAAGAGCTAAGAGAAAGAATTTATCACCCAAAATCTCCCTGTCAAGTTGGAAATGTGCCATCCTGCATGATGAAAAGGTTATTGAATAATCAACATGAATACGTGACCAAACTATCAACATAAAGGAGAAAGAAACATGAATACGTGACCAAACTATCAACATAAAGGAGAAAGAAACCTGCAGAACACGTTAACTCTGATACCTTGGACTATGGATGATATGGAGGGACTCCGAAAGAATTTTTTCAGATATCTCGTAAACCAAGCAAAATTTAGAAAGAAATGTGATGAGAAGAAAGATAGATAATTGATTTTGTTATTCAAGTAGATATTTGAATATTGTCAGTGGCGTACTCAAAAAAAGTTCTATGGATTTTCTCCAATCAGAATGCTAAATATGTATCTTCCTGTATATCGATTGAACTGATAAAAACTGTAATCTATGCACACTTCTTATAGTTTACTTCCTTCCAAATTCCAGAGCATAACCTCTCAAGGATTTTGAAATATCAATGAAATCTGAGAAAAAAAATCCATTCATCGCCCTCTCACGGCCCAACGGTGCATTTTCGTACAGAGGTAAGTTGGTCCCAATCGACCTATTTTGAACTCTAGTTCACCCTGTTGAATTTAATGGACGTTGTTCTGGGACACCCTGTATATAGACATGTTATATCAGATGTTATGGTTGAAACCGAGTCAATGTTCGCAATGTTCCTGAAATTTCAGTAATAAACCTTGGTTCCTAACAAGTAAAATCTACTTCTTTTGTAAGAATATAGTGCGTCATATTCAACTTAACTCATACGGGAGAAATGTTTATGAGTTTCATTAGAAACTATGTGGACATTTAATATCAGATGTTATGGTTGAACACGAATTATTGTTTTCAATGTTCCTGAAATGTTTGTAAATATATATAGTGCGTTATTGGAAATATGTTCTTTCAAATGTCATCCTGAACTATGTAGACATATAATATCGAATGTTATGGTTGGAAATGAATTGATGTTTTTTTTGTGATGTGTGATGTGAAAAAGTTTGCAATTTTATCTCTGTTGAATTGCCACGTTATGAATTGTGACTTATCATAAATTGAGTTTTTCTCACGAAAAAAACAGAGTACTTGTTTTCCGGATATATGTCACATATATATATATAAATATTCACTGTTGATGTCTTTTGATGTGCTATAGTTCCGAACAATAAGTAAATAAGACCGTTTCCGAGAAAAGAACTGTAAAAATAGGTCCTTTTATCTTCCATTCCACTTCGCGGTTACGTATATTATACTGAACAACCACTTAAATTCGCAATTTTTTGAAAGAAATCGATTTACAGAATTAGACTGACAGATATTTGATTACTTCGAAGTATCGATGACGATGCCTGCAAAAAGATTCCTGTAACGCATGTGTCATTACTGTTAAAAACATCAAATTTCACTTTGATAATGTGCTCATATATCACAAAAAATTTGTATTTCATAATTCGATAGAACTCACCCAAACTATAGACTGTTGGCCCACGACACAGGGTTTATCGATGTTCTAAGTCGGTATGCCATTTAAGGGACCCACTCACTTAGTCCAAGTTAACAGGAAGGAGTGCCTCGGAAAGTCGCAACCCAGTCCTTGCCCCGGCCCTGACCTCACCTTCCGGTTGGAAAAAAGTTCAAAATTTTGTTTAAGATGAAGCTCGGCAATGAAGTGCAATGATCTTATCTCACGAGAATTGGGGCGCTTGCCGGTTTGCATACGCCTAGGTCACTCCCCAAGGGCGGCATACGAACCGGAAGTGGAAATTTTTCAGTGTTATAGTCGATGATCGAAGAATGTATGCCCTTTGGCGAAACAATAAATTCGGACCCATTAAACATTTTCCCGACATTTGCATACGATTCCGGAGAGGGGAGCTCGACTTATTCGAACATCATTTGACTGGATATTCTTCAAATAATCGATAATCGAAGAAATGTTCAAATTTTGACCATGGTTAGTGGACCACACAGTATATATGAGAGAATGGTTTGCATACAATTTGCACATACCGTACAGGGTGTTTCATCATAAATATCTCCCATTGTAACTTAGTTGTTTCTGAACCGATTTTAAAATTTCAAAAACCAATTAAAATGATTTTCCTAAGAGATTTTTCATTGTTATCAAAAAATGCACAGGTTGTTCATAACAAATAAACTATTGGGTAGTTGTTGATTTCTTCTTACTGAAACACTATTCTTTACCTCACTAACGAGTTGAAATTATTATGACGAATACAGCTCTACAGCATCTAGCGATATCATTTACACGCAGCACTCTTATAGCAATCATGCGCCAAAT